AGACTTAATGCTGCACAGAGGAAGCGCTCTCGCTTCGGTCTGCCCAGACATTCCCAGCACAAAAGCCACAGCTTCCCAGCATTTAAAACAGCCCTGATCTGTCCTCTGTCTTCCCTGTTCCCTGGGGATAATTCATCATTCATTTAGAATTAAAAACAAGCACGAAAAAATATTTATACTTGTGCTTTCAGGAGCGGAGGGATTATTCATATTGTGTGTGTGTGGGGGGGGGGGGTTGTATTAATGAGATGTCATTAAAGATGTCTGTCTTTTTAATCCGTCCTGTGTGCAGTAATAAGGACAGCCAGTCCTGGAGGTGCTAAAATCCGCTTGACTTCCTGTGTAAATCTCTCACTTAAATCTCTCCAGTATTACTTAATTAGGGATATTTTTACTTATTCAGGTGCTTAGCAGACACAGTTAACCAAATCAATTAAGCTTAAACATTGTAAACGCTGCCTCCCTATCGCCGCCTGTTATTTTACCTGAGTTCGGGTTACATTGATGAAACTTAGCCACAGCGTCCCCCTGAGAGGGCTGTGAATGTAAAGGGTAATTCTGCGTTGGTAGGCTGGCTGTGTGTATCATGCTATGGGGGGGTTACTGCAGCACCTCACATTAACGTGAAAGAGCCAGGGGCACTGTGGAGAGGAAGTGACGGGTGTGTCGTCACAGAGGAACGTGGGGTGGCCAAGGGTGGGTGGGGGGGGGGGATAGCCAGCCTGGTTCTCTTGTGGCACACACCACGTGGCCCGTTTTGGGTGCACTGCAGCGGCCCTCACCTTCGAGGACGGGGCAAACCCACCCACTCCTAAAAACCGGTCTGCTCCGCCCTCGAGGCTGATCTGGTAGCCAAACAGAGCACAGCACTGTGCTTTAAGAGGGGAGAGGAGTGACAGACGCAAGCCTGAGACTGCCTTCCTGCCTGATTCCACTTTTTTACCCCCTTCTGCCTCTTCCCGCTGGCCCCCCCCCTCTGGACGGTACAAACTGGCGCCGCCCCCCTACTCCCGCCACAGTTGAGCAGATTGTCTCTGTATTCCGCGCTGCTTCCAAACAAAGAGCATGGGACCATTTCTCCAAAGCCCAGCGCAAGAACCTGGACATGTGGCGCAAGCAGGCAGAGGTTGGTATCACTGCTCGCTCTCGTCCCCCCCCCCCCCCCCCCCCCCCCTCCCCCCCCCCCCCCCCCCCCCCCCCCCTCTTTCTTTCTCTCTCCCCCTGCCTCTCTCCCCATCTTCTCTCTCTATCTCTGGCACTTCCTTTTGATATGTTAAAATGTTCTGTCTTCCTCTGTAAAAATGGATTTGTTGATTGTTGTGAGCCTCTCTGCATCCAACTCTATCCTCATGCTCCACCCCGCACCTTCCCTGCCCTCCCCCATTTTCTCTGGGTCCCATCCCTTCTCTTTTTGATAGAGCATTAATTAGAATTTAAACGGGTATTTAAGGTGAGCTGTGCTGTGGGGGGCTCAGGCTCAGTTTGGGGGTGGGGGAGTCGTTCCCGATACAGATGTCCAGAGCCATTGACAGGAAAGGTAATGGTGGAGGTGTCGACTGTGCCCACTTTCCTTCAGGCGCCCCCACAGTGCCCCTCCTCCACAAAAGCATCTCGGATCTCCAGCACCGTGAGGCTCTCTCCTGGCTGGAGGGCCATCCATCTTGAGAGGGAAAATTCTGATTAGCTAATGAATCTTGACAGCATTGGTTTATACTATTTTTTTTCTTTCTATCACACAAATATCAAACTAATTATGCCAAACACTTTTTTTTGGAGGATATTCGGATTTAACGCGTGTTGTCGTTCTAATGGCAATCAGTCTGATCCATCTCTTCTTGCTCTCGGTTTTGGCGTAATTAGCATCCTAATCTCCATCTCATGGTGTGATAAAGACCCCGATTGGAAGGGTATGGCTGCTGCGGCTGAAGCGTGCTGCACAAATCACAGCATCGCTGGTTACCGGCTCCTTGGCTTCCAGCTTGAAAAGCTGCCAGGTGTTAAGGCCGGCTTTTCTGCCTCCGAGCTATGGCTGCGTGCCCCACACCCCAGCACCGACTCACAGTTTTTCCCTTTGCTGACTCACCAGTACAACCTAAATAAGACCCCTAGAGACTCCACATCCACATCACATCTGCTGAGGCCAGTGACATGTGTTCCAAGATCTTCCAGCACAGTAAATATCCCCAATCTGTCCATTGTACCAGCTCACCCAGTAGGGAGGAGCATTTGGGGCTGGGGCTCACACCCCCCCATCATTAAGGTACCAATCATGTCAATCTAGGCTGTCAACGAATATTTTTGTCTAGCAGCAGGAAGGCCTAGCTAGTCAGCGGCCGTTTGTATGAGCAGAGTGCTTTACTCTGCTTTTTGTGGTCTTTGGCACTCCCACGAAACATCTGCGGCTTACCTTTCTCACAACTAACATGAGAGATCCCCTCTTTCCAATCGATTTTGTTTCATTCTGAGCCATGTGGTACTCTCACGCCTGAACTTAGGAGATATGCCAGTGAGCAGAGGATGGAGCAGAAATCAGCACATCCCTCAGACTGAAGTCCTTCACAACTGTCCCACACACACACACACACACACACACAGCCCAGTTATCACTGGGGCTGCCACTCACCTGTTCCAAGATCTGGCCGCATCCGCTCGCCAGCTCCCCCTGCAGGCACTCCAGGTGTCAGTGGCACTGCGCAGTCTGCTGACAGAAGGTAAGGTGTGGCGTTTAGACCTGCGGCTCACGCGGAGAAGCGCAGTGGCCGTTTTGCCGGTGGTAGCATCTGCTCAGTGACAGATTCCTGGGTAAGTCCGCTCTCTCGCTCGCTCGCTCGCTCACTCCAGGGTGTCCACCTAGCTGTGGTAAGTAGTATCACCAAAGCCGAGGTCCCCTGCAGGCTGGGAGACGTGGTACGCCTCGGGACAGGGAGCCCTCTCCATCAGAATGAAACAAACACGCATCCCACCCCTTCTAGCGAACGTCTGCTTTGACAAGCTCTTTAGCGGCCGTTTTATACCCTCAGCTAAGAGGAGGGAGCAGCTGCCTTCACCAGTATAGCTTTCTGCAGTGATCTCCCCACCCCTGGGCAGATAGACCCGATGCTGCGAGATTCCGGGCAGATGGCGGTATTTACATGGAGCCTCTTTGTTGTTGCCATGGGAAACGCTTCTCCACCCCACCTCGAGGTCTTTACACTCCATTAAATGGAGAACGGCCTCCCCTCCCCTCCCCTCAAACCTCCGTTTGCGTTTCTGCTCCGACATCTGTTCCCATCTGTGTAAAACAGCTTACAGTGCCCCCTACGGGCAGCGGGGAGATTGGACAAAACAAGTGCAGACTGGAAGCATTCTTAGGGCCCTTTGTGCTACAAAGGCCAGAGCTGGTCTGCATCTGTCTTTCAGAGTATGAATGCTCTACTCCTCAGCCATCACGTTGTCCGTTGTCTTGTAGTGTTACAGGTAGAATCCAGATGTTTGGCCCTCTGATGTTAGAATGGGAAGCAGAACTCCACAGCCACCAGAGACAGCCTGGTTTGTGCCTGTATGTTCATCTTCTCCCGCTGCCTTCCTTTTGCCTCCTGCAGGAGATTCGCAACATCCACAACGAGGAGTTGATGGGAATCCGGCGAGAGGAGGAGATGGAGATGTCAGATGATGACATGGAGGATGTTCCGGAGTGCAAGGACTCTGATGACTCTGGTACAGCGCCTAGCTCCCGACCCCCCACTTTCCCGACATTGGTATCTGAATATGACACACACCCACACATAGTACATGTTCCTCAGAACTGCTGCGACAAACAAGTGATGAGCCCACCACGCATGACAGAGTGCCTCCTGAGAAATCACTTAGTTCATCTTTTTCCCCCACAGGATATGTAAAGTTCACCATATATTGGAGATGTTTCCAATTAACTGGCTTTGCAGCGGTTTCCTTTGCCCTGATTTGCAGAATCACTCACTGTACACGAATGACTTGGAGTAAATCATGAGTATCTTCTAAGAATGTCTAATTAGCTCCCTCTCTGGCGTTTCTTCCTCATTGATTTAATCACACTGGGCTAACCATGTTATGCGGTAATGTCATCCGCTAGGAGGTATTGTCCATATGAGGTGTCCTCTTATTCTTGTTGAGTTATCAAATAGTTTGACAAGCAAATTTGTCATCCGTAACACCTAAGAGCCATCTATAGAGCGGTACTGTCCTCGATTCACCCTTGGAGTGGAGTTGTCTGTGAGTTATCAATAGGAAGATGCTGACCAAGAGTCATCAGTTGAGAGGGGTAATTTATGAGTCATTTATGGAGAGGTGTTGTCCATGAGTCAACTATAGCCAGGTGTTGACCAGGAGTCTTCAGTCGAGAGGTGTTATGTATGAGTCTTCTATGGAGAGGTGTTGTCCAGGAATCACCTGTCAAAAGCTGTTGTCTGTAGGGAGGTGTTGTCTATAGGCAGATGTTGTCCATGAATCATTATCTAACTGTGTTTACATTACTGTCCCATAAGTTGATTTATTTGGAATACAATGAAATAGCTCTCTAATTGTGTGCTGATGGCTAGCTTTTTCCCAACATGTAAATGTTGAGTGTGCGTGAGTGTGTGGCTCCTCCACCATGGAGAACACCCTCCCTGCAGCACGTTTCTGCGCTGGGGCTCGGAGTCACCCCAGGTGATGGTGACGACTGCTGTCACAGAGCCAATCTCGCCTCCGTTTCCTTTCTAACAGGCCTTTAGCGATCCTCCAGGTCTTCAAGTCTGCCAGCGCTCCTTGTTAATATGGAAATGCCATGCAAATTAAATCATTAGTTTACCAGACTTTGGTTCCCGCTCTATTTCATTTGCAACCGCTATAACGATAATCAAGCATTTGAGGAAACGGTGTACCGGCAGCCGATAACATCAGCTGGAGCGCGCAGGTGCCGTGCGGCGACATAAATATTTATCTTAGCGGGTATTTTACACCTGCTGGCTTTTATCTCAACTTCGGTAAGCGGCGGCCTTGTTTTCAAAGCCTCTGTTCCCCTTTACCGCCTCGTCGGCTAAACGCGGCTCCGCTTAGACCTGTGAGGCAGCCCGCTCAGCGCGGCACGACGCGGCAGAGTCACTGGGATAGATATGGAAGCCTCCTTAATGGTCACGGCGCCACTGTCTGAAAATGTTGTGCAGGTCCCCCTACAATAGAACAGCACGCCATTTCCCCGAGGAGAGGCTCCTCAGTAAAGTAGGCCCGTGTCGCATTTGCTGGATGGACCTTTGGGGGCCGGATACAGGACCAGACCAATCGTTACTTAACGTCCTGGCGCTGTTCCACCCGCTGTGGCCGCCTGGTGCGGGAGGCGGGCGTGGTGAAATAACATGCTGCTATAGAGTTCTAATTACACACATTCAGTAACGATTTGGCTGGCACCATGAACCGAACAGAGTTTTTAAATAGTTTCTTTATTTAAGCTCAGTTAATTAGGCTAATGCGTATGCCTGTCGAAAACGAGACCTTATAACCTCACGAAGACTGGAGAGAAGCTTATTTTTAGAGCGTATTCCACTGATTTTCAGTTAAATACAGTGTTTGTTTATATTTGTTTGTTGTTGAAGTCTGTTGTGATCACATGTCATTGTTTAGTCCCCTGCTCTGTCTGTCTGCTACTCCTCTTGCCCTAAACATCCCCGTGTCTCGGCTGATTGTCAGTTCGGCAGGGTTCAATGACGTGAGTAAAGAAAGTCAGGAACAGACAGTTTACAGTAATGAAGATACAGCCAAAAGATGAACATGTTCAGCTGAAAGTGTACTTATGTTACTGCTGGGGCTGCCTGGACTGTGACAGGCTGCTGTCCCATCTCACCTGTCAGCCTCCCTTCTCCTTCTCTCCCTCCCTTGCCCCTTGGCCCGGCAGGCCCCGCAGCCCAGGTTGAGGCCCTCAAGGAGGAGAACGACAGCCTGCGGTGCCAGCTAGATGCCTACAGGAATGAGGTGGAGCTGCTGAAGCAGGAGCAGGGCAAGGCGTCGGTGGCGCCGCGGGGCGAGGAGGAGGCCACACGCCAACAGCAGCTCAGCTTCCTGCAACAGGCCCTGCAGGGCATGCAGAAGGTACCGTGGCGCCCCCTGCAGTCCGGACACTGCCTCTGCAACCCTGTCGCCCGTGGCAACCTCATCATGTCCTGTTTGGTCCCCTCTGTCACTGCAGTCCCCCTTGATCCTGCAGTCATTCATGTTCATGCCACCACCACCCTCGCCATCTCAAGTCTGCAGTCTAGCATGTGGCGCAGACCTGAAAACGCCAGTCATGCTCCATTAGCCCCATTTTGTGTTGACAGAATGTCAGAAGAGGCCAAATCTCTGACATGTGGGCCGCAGGGCAGGGAGGTGCCGCCCCCTTCAGGTGGTTTCATCGCGCGGCCTGTTGGTCTTTTGTATGGATGTCGGTTTATGTGCCTTTGAGTAACTGAGTAGGAGGCATTGTGGGGGGTAGGTGGTGGTTAAAGGGTGACTGGCGAGAGAGATGTTTATCTGCCTGTTATCCTTGCAGATCTGCTCTAGCCCCCCCAAACACCTGACGTAGTGGCCCGTTACCATGGAAATAGGCGTCTAACTCAGCCCGACGAGGCATTCAGCAGGGCGAAGCAGAGGGCAGCATGACTGGCATGGATGGGGGGTGGGGGCGCTCATGGCTTCATTAACCCAGCGCCGCAGGGGCGCGTGTGCTGGCTGTCACCGTCACCCCCGGAATAACCCTGTCCTTTGGCTTCATTTGCCCAATTAGTTGATGTGTAATTGGACCAATTAGTTATTTGTTGCGTGTAGTTCTGCAGATTACAGGCCCTAGAAAATCTTTGTTGTACATAATTATTGGGGGGGATAAAAGTAACTAGCAAAAAGGTGACTAATAATGCATCGCTGTCCAAAACGCCACGGTATGCCTGGGAGAGGCCTGCCCCTAGTGAGGCAAGGCTCTTGGGCTGCTGAGTGCCCTGCCTCCTGCTGGAAGGATGCTGTCAGATCTCGCTCCGCCGCTCACAGCCTGCTGCCGCCGGATTTTGTCTTTCTACTGGCAGCTGTGCGATGGAGCCAGATGCTCGGCAAGGCAGCGAGTGATTTATTCATGCGGGGCACGGCTTAAATAGCAGTGAAAAGGTGAGCCAAGCAGGTAGCTGTGTCTGGAATAGATAAGGGCTCTTTGTGTATTTGATGTTGCGCCGCGCCGAAGCTCACGCCCCAGATAGTGGCAGATAAACATCAGCGAGACGCTCTCGTAATGATGCCGCCGCCGGCCGTGTGGTCCGGCTGCCCCCTCACGCGTCTGTCAGGCTGAAATTGCGGGAAACGGGGCCCCGCTGCAGACGTGCCGGGCCAGGCAGGAATCCTCATCTCCCAGGAAGCATGGGCTTTCGAAAGCCGCTGTGGCCCTGCAATTAACGATTTGATGTTACCCAACAAGAGCCAATAAATTCACAGGCGCGATGTGGGTTAAGCGGGCACTGACTGACAGCACATGTGGGATTAAAGGTCGTCATCCTTCCATCAGGCCTTGTCAACTCCTTTATCAGTGCCGTGGCCCAGTCCTCCCAGGTTGATGGGGGCGCTGTGATTGGGTGTCATAGTTCAAGACCCTGGGAATCAGGCAGGCCTGGGGTGTGGGTACAAAGCAGTATGTCTGAAACAACATCAGAAGCTGATGAGCAAATCATTATTCATTCCCTGGAGGTTTGGGGGGGGATGTGGTGTTGAGAATTGTGTGTTCATTCAGTTACCGGCACACACTCTCTCTCTCTCTGTCTCTCTCTTTCTGTAGCAACTGCTGAAGCTGCGTGAGGAGCTGAAGCTGAAGGAGACTGAGCTGGAGAGGAGCAGTGATGAGAAGCAGAAGCTGGAGGGCCAGGTGAAGAGCCTGCAGGAACGTACACTACCCTTCCCCCCGGCACAGTCGCACAGGGTCAGTATCACAGAGACCCCCCCACCCCCACCTGCATTTCCGTAGCTTGTCCTATTATTGTGCTATAGAGCTGACTTGATGGTTTGTTTTGACATCACCCTGCCCTGACAGAATGCGAGAGGCAGCTTTCAGCCATCGCAGGACCACGTGCAGCCACACACACACACACACACACACACACACACACACACATGCACAAGCACACCTGCAGGCCCGTCAGCTGAAGGAGGGCAGGCGGGGCTCTGTTCGCGCTCACTACAAAGTCACACTAATTCCTGCATGTTGTCAGGCGACATGTCTCCCCGTTTCCAGACGAGTCATTATTTTTAGATTACACAGGAGGGCAGGAAGCAGAAACCAGTTGGACCGCAGGGTCCTTCTGATCCACCACACCCGGGGGGGGTGTCGTCCGCTGGTATTCCCGGAAGGACGTTGCCCCCGGGTGCCTCTGCTGAGGTTCCCCGCTTCGCCAGCTACCTGAAAGGCCAAACGGTCTTACTGTAAATCACATTTCAGCGATGGAATGAGCTTGAGCAGAACCTGAGCACTAATGGTGATGGTCGCTGCCGCGTCTGGCGTGTCCCTGCCCTGCAGCCCGGATGGTCATCGCACCAAAGACAGGGCTGGGAGGAGGGAGCCTGCAGCCGGAGAGTGCTTCTTGGCCCAGGGGATGGATTGGCCGTGTCTGATTTGTGCACTAATTAAAATGAAATTAGCTCCAAACGAGCTCAGCAGCTCTGACAATATTTCAGAAATAAATCCTCAGATAGTAGGAAGCCGGTCTACTGGAAGCCATTGATTATTCACTACAGCTCCTCCCTTAGTAAGATTTAATGACGTGGCCCCCTTCACCCTTCCTTAGGTCTCATTCCCCCCGCACCTCCTCCCAGTGAAGCAGGTTCTTGTAATGCTGTCCATTGCCATTGGGGGCGCTTGGCCTGTTGCCACACCCCCACCCACCCCTGGGTCTTTCATGAGACAGGCTTCTTGCAGCTGCAGCAGACGCTAATAAAAACTAATGGTGTCTTGGCGTGACCCTGCTTCGCCCCCCGGCCAGATCCGGTCGCTTCCCATCATCTCCGTTTGGCCGCCATCTCCCCCCATCTAGCAGGAGGGGCTGTGTTTTTTCGCTGCAGCTTCGTGTTGACAGAAGAAATTCTGGTCTGAGATAACACTACTTAATTGAGGAGCTGAGAGGCTGTGCTCTAGGGGGGCCCGGGGGGGAAAGGGGGGGGGGGGCAGGGGGCACAGGCTTAGTGGGCGTGGGGTGGGGGATGGGGCAGGCTTAGTGTGGGGGGGGGTGCGGAGGCTGGCTCAGGGAGCACAGCCTATGGCTGTATGCATGTGGACATGACAAGGGCTATATAATATATATATACATATATATATATATGTGTGTGTGTGTGTGTGTGTGTGTGTGTGTGTGTGCATGTGCTTGTCTGCTCATTAAAAGAAGGGAGAGTCCCATCAGACAGAGCTGTGTGTGTGACAGGGACATCATGCCCCCCAGCCTTTGCCCCTGTTAAAAGTACAGCCTATTACAAGCCATTAGCCATTCATGTCTGGCCTATCATGATCTGTTAGCTGTTTGCACCCGGCCAATCACGATTTGTTAGCTGTCTGCATCCAGCCCATCACGAGCCATTAGTCGTCCTTGCCCAGCCTATCATGAGCCGTTAGTCGTCCGCGCTTCGTGTGAGTCGTGCTTGCTCTCAGTTATTTCTGGCCTCAGCGTCACTCGTCACCTATGATGAATCAGGAGATGGTTTGTCAGTGATTGCCCCCCCTCCCCATCCCCAAGGACTGCTGCTGTCTAAATATCGGGAAGAACACGTATCGTCTTGGGTCTGATGTGTTTGTCATAAGTGTGTTTATTAATGCTCTTGGGAATCTGAATGCCTGATTGTGTTGATCTGTTGTTCGCAATTTTTGTATGCGTGTTCGTGTGTACATGCGTGTGTGCACGTATGTGTGTGAGTGTGTATGTGGGCATGAATGACTGTCCTCACTACTTTTTTTTCATCTGCAGGTAGAAACAGCTGAACGAGATGACAGAGGCAGTGAGGAGAGGGACAATCAATCCAGTGTAAGTGTGAACGTGTGTGTGTGTGTGTGTGTGCGTACGCTGTCCTCCTTCATTACTGACCTGTGAGGCCAGACAAGGGCCCTAGGCAGACCTAAGATAAATCATGGCTCCGGAGATGGGGGGTGACAGCGTGAAGCTCTGCAGGAAGCCCCTCCCACCAGCCCATCCACAGAGCACTTCACAGGGGCTTTCGGCCAAATCCAGCTGTTTTTGAAGTGAATGAGGTTGTCCGCAGCAGGAGTGCCCCCCGCCCCTAACGGCAGCACACAGAGCTTTCGTTAGCCCCACCCTGCCTGCCTTCAGCCGCATTCCACCAATGGCTCTCTCCTCACAATTCCCTTTTATACCTGTCCGTATGTGTAATTCACCCCCTCACTGCGCGTCTCCTTTAATCTCCTGTTACTTCCCTCCATGTGGTCTGTCAGTCGTCGTTCCCTCCCCCCCCAGCCTGCCTGGACCATGCCAGCCGGCCAAACCATAAGCTGCTGCTTCTGGTCCTCACTGCTGTTTGTCTTCCCTGCGGCTGTACGAATACGATACCGGTCATTTCCTGACCTCCCGCTGTAAGTGAGAGGGAAGCGGGATTGGCTGGCGAGTGCAGAGGCATGCACGCTGGGGGGTGTGCACACTCTGCTCCTCTGAGCGGTAGTTATCAGACGTGTGCATGCGCACGTGAGCATTTGTCTGGCTCTCAGGAGGACGTGACGTCCCTCCATGTCTCTTTGGCGTCCCCGCAGGAAGCAGCTACGACGGCAGTGGTCTCCTGCAGCCAGGAGAAGGAGAATCTTCCAGAGAAGGGACCCCCCAGCCCTGTCAAGTCAGAGAGAGAGGCTCTGCTAGTCGGTAAGTAACTCTACATACCAGACCGGTCCACCAGCAACAAATTTTTGGATTTCGTCATGCTGCTGAAATATAATTGCATGCGATAAAACACACAAACGCACTAGAATGTCACCCCTTCATAAATACACTCACCCTCCTGTGCTGTTTCATATGTGTTAATTGCTTTGCAAAATAAGTCCTTCATCGCCTCTAAGTCCCCACAATTGTATTTTGGCCCTCTTTCCTCACTGGCACTCGATCATCATCCTTCCCCACCTCCCCCCACCCCAGGAGGCAGTCTCTCTCTCACACAGACACACACACACACAGACACACACACACACACACACACACACGACAGACGCAAACACAGACTCAGCTTCATCTGATGGATTTCCTCTTCCTGTGATGGGCAGAATGTCATTGGTCATTTGTTTAAGCGTGCTTGCAAAGAGGGAGTTTAGTCATAAGACGTGCACTCCTGTGTCTCACACAGATACACACAATGGTTTGAAATTTGGGGGGTTGGGATCACAACTTAATAACAGGCAAAGATCTGTTTATGGGGGGAGGGGAATCTAGCCAAATTAACTATTGGGGGAGAAACGTCCACCCCCCCACCCCAGTTCCTACATGCCTGCACGTTCTATATCTTACGGCATGGCCCTTGTCATGTGCACATGCATTAAGCCACATATTTATACTATCATATAGTCGGGGGGGGGAGCGGTACAGCCCAGGAATGTGCCAGCCTCTTGTGCAACAGGAGGATGGGCTTTGGCGGAGTGGCAGAACACAGGAAATGGGCGACCCTGCTGTGAGGGAATGATTACACGCCAGAATGATCCCTGTGATTATTTCTGAGGTGCTTAAGTAGCTAATGGGCTGCTCCTTCAAAGTCCAGCGGACCCCATTGCTCATGCCGTCTGAGAACGAGGTCTTGGCGGTTAGTACATCCCCCCTCTGTCAGACTTGCTTAGCTTAGCTTATGTTAGCAGAGCTGGGCATCTGGCTCCGATATGAAGACCTGGGTAGCTCTGGCAGGATGCAGGAGCAAAGCCAGCCAGCAGGGCCTCAGCTGGCCTGCAGGACTAGCTCAGGAACTTTGCCCTTAGCCTGCAGGACTAGCTCAGGAACTTTGCCCTTAGCCTGCAGGACTAGCTCAGGAACTTTGCCCTTAGCTGGGTGTTTTGTGGTGATCTAATGAAGAACTGGTTATCATTGCACCACACATAGTTGTAAATTTTAGTCAAAATATGACACAGCGGAAGGGACAGTCCGATGAAATCAGTCATCTCTGATATTTACGGTACATTTTCTGTGTGCCGATGGTGAACACATCAACCTCGGGCACTTAACGATCTCAGACAGCGCGAGGGCTGTGGGGGTGGGGGGGGCTTTGCTGCAGTTGAGCCGTGATTATGCAGTCCGTCCACCTCTCTGCCTGTGAAATCCAGCGCCTGTCAGGGTCCGCCAGCCCCGTCAAACGTGTAGAGAGAGAGAGAGAGAGAGCGAGAACAAGCGAGAACCCACTCACCAAAGTCTCAGCAAATCACTCAGCAGTAAGCAACCCCCCCCCCCCCCCCCAGCAGGAGGAACATACTGTGCAGAAGCATGGAGTGAGGCACTTAGAAATGTGGTGCAAGAATGGAAAGCTGGTGCCCCCCCCCCACAGTTTTTATTTGGGTTCACGCTTCTGTGCGTGGAATTCCGTTATCCGCTCTACTGAAACATGAAAGGCTGTCCCACATTCACATGGCTGCTTTACATTGTCTTATCTCTGGTGAGAGAGAGAGTCTCGATACCTTGCATGAGACGAGCAGACCGCCCAGCCGTGGGTCTCTCCCGTCCTGGGGGCGTGCGCCCCAGGGCCTGAGCATGTGCGTCTCCATTAGCTCAAAGTGGGGGGCTTGTTGTTTAATAATTAAAATGTATGATTTTCTGATGAAAAGACTTGATTGCTGAAATGAACATCAAAGTAGGAATGAAATACTTCCTCTCTGTCTGAGGGGATCTGGGCAGCAGAGGATGGAGTGCTTCAGGCTTCTCAGCCTCCTGCAGCATTCTCTGCCCTCGCCGCCTCGCCGCTTACTTAATGCTTCTCTATGGCTTTTTGTGTCATGCGAGGGCCCAGGTCTCAGCTGAAATGGATACGGGGAGGGAAAGCCTCGTGTTTGACGGTTATTTGCAGCCCCACGTCCATAACCTCACCCCCGACATCCTCTCCCGCAGGGATCATCTCCACCTTTCTGCACGTGCACCCCTTCGGAGCCAGCATCGAGTACATCTGCTCCTACCTGCAGCGCCTGGACACCAAGGTAGCGACAGCAGGAGCCAGGGGCCGGTGACTGCCTTCATCCTAGCTGTGCTGTTTCAGCGTGATAAGCCCCTATTTCACTGATAGACCCCAACTGCTGTGATGATCTCCAATCTCATACATAAGCCACTGTTCCACTGATAAACCCCTATTCCTTGGATAAACCTCAATCCCAATGATAAGCGCTTATTCCACCGATAAACCCCAATCCCAACGATAAGCGCTTATTCCACTGGTAATCCCCGTTCCCAATAAAAAGTGCCTGTGATCGCACCTGTAAACCAGCATGGTGGAATGGGGGTAGGACTGGGAGTAAATCCAGCACAGGGACACGCTGGCACTTCCTGTGTGGTATGTAGGCGGGGCTGAGGATGGCGTCTGTCGCATCGCGCCCTTTGCACGTGCCTGTGAGGGGACTCCAGTGGCAGATACCCAGACACCTGCTAATTAAAACCTCCCTGATGCCATCACCACGGTGACTCATTTTCACGCACAGATGGAGAGTAAACAAACCCTTTGTTGTATGTTTTTTTGTTTTTTTTTACTGAGACTTGAAGCCCCCAGGGGCTCCTCAGAATCGGTACATATTCTCCCGCGTCTTTCAAATGCGAATGTGTCCTAGCAGCTTCTAAGCAGTAACTTGCCCCCGCACGCACACACTGACACCTCCCCACCCCCCCTGTAGCCTCTCCTCCCCTGTGCTTTTTCAGTGGAGGGGGTAGCAGCCCCACTCTTTGGCTTCCCCAGTTTCCCCATTTCTCTGTCTGCACTACTTGCTGTGGTGGACGGTCTTACTGCCTGCCGACTAGCAGCTTGCCTTCTTACTGGCTGCTTCGTCACCTTGACTGGTGTCCTGTCCCCCCCCCCACAGATTGGCACTCTGGAGGTGGAGGCCCTTCTGGGTCGTCTGCCCTGCACCTTCAGACAGGAGCTCACGGGCGTGGGTGCCAGCCTGGAGAAGAGGTGGAAGTTTTGCGGCTTTGAGGGGATCAAGACCGCATAGGGGCCGGGCTGGGGGACATGTGGCTGAGGGGGTGGAGACTGAGGGATGGGGCCACAGAGGCAGGGACGTGGACAGAAACAATTTTACAAGCCCCACTGGCACCCCACTGGCACCCCCCAGGACCGGTGTCCCAGACCTCAGGACCATCTGCACAGGGAGGAGATCGGGAGGGTAACTGCAGGATTGTGGATTCTACAGGAACATAGAAGAACCTGCGGGCTATATTTCTTATTTTGCTGTACAGGATGTTAACTGTTGCTTTAATGCTTTTGTTTATAAATATACTATACAAGTGTAAAAGAAACCGACATTGGGTAAAAACAGAAAAATCTGAAAAAGCTTTCACAGCTTGTTTTTACAGTTGGTACGTACGCTGAGCAGGAAGCTATATGCTGGTCCCAGGGTCACAGCTGTCAGGTGAGGGGGACACAGACGAGCCTGTCATTCACATTGCTCTCTGCTGGGGCCGGGGGCTGTGACTGGCCTGTTACCCTCTCACAGAGCAGGACACCCAAAGGGAAGGGCCGGGCCGGATGCGTGCCCCCCCAGCCCAGCCCAGTCCAGCTCACATTTTTTTCTCATCTCTGGAGCCCTTTAGCATCCTCTGTCGTCCAAAGGTCATCTCTGTCTGTCCACGCCTGACGAGGCTGGCACAGTGAGCGATACACTGGAGATCCCGGGCCAGCCGGCCAGTGGGCCCGCAGGGACTCGCACTGCGCGGTGCTGCTCTAAGGACGCTCCCGGCCTTGTGGCATGAAGGAGGCTTGTGCTCCCCACAGCCAGATCATGCACACACCCCTAGGGCTCAGGAGCGATGTGGCCCTTTAGGCAATAATGAAAGTCACTTTTTCAGATGTAGCTAGTGATTGTGAGACCCTGCCACCTTCCCGTCCATGTGCCTGCTTCCCATTCATGTTCCACCATCCCCATGATACCTTCCCGTTCCCGTGCCGTCTCCCTGTCCCTGTGCCTCCTCCCCATCCCTGTGCCACCTCCCCATCCCTGTGCCTGCTTCCCATTTCTGTTCCACCATCCCCATGATACCTTCCCGTTCCCGTGCCGTCTCCCTGTCCCTGTGTCACCTCCCCATCCCTGTGCCACCTCCCCATTCCTATTCCACCATCCCCATGATACCTTCCCGTCCCTGTGCCGCCTTCCCGTTTCCGTGCCGTCTCCCCGTCCCTGTGTCACCTCCCCATCCCTGTGCCACCTCCCCATCCCTGTGCCACCTCCCCATCCCTGTGCCTGCTTCCCATTCCTGTTCCACCATCCCCATGCTACCTTCCTGTCCCCATGGCGTGTTCCTGTCCTCATGCCAGCTTCCTATCCCCTTGCTTCATTCATTCATTCCTGTGTGTGTGTATTAGTGTCGTTGGTATCTGATTCTGCCAAGGCTTCAGCCTGGGGAGAACTGTGCCTCCATCCCCCAGTATGGCTTATCACACATGCTAGAATAAAAAGGCGTTTCCACTGCTGCCATTGCTCTGCGTCTGAGCGCAGTACAGAGGAGCTGTACTCGGCAGCCTGCTCTGGCTCTTTCTCTGCTTTTAACCCCCCCACCCACCATCCGTTTTCTCAAAGCTTTGATAACTTCATAAGAGATGAATAAAACACACCATGTGGGCTGAGAGGACTCGACAGAGGCGCTCCAGTGTCCTACTTTGTCATACATTTCTATTCTGAGTCCGTGGCGGCGGCCGGCAGCTTGGACTTCACCTGCTCATGTGACCGGTCCTCCCCAGGGCCCCCCCCCCCCCAATAAAACGTGTTGGCTTCGCATTTTCGTAGCTCGAATTCCCTGTAGGGTTCATTACAGTCAAGCTATGGAAACAAAGTATAATTTAGTTCTCGTAAGAGTTGGCTATGTGTGAGTACCCAAGTCTTGCATAGGGTTGCAGTTTAGAGTCATTATGTCTTTGCTGCAGTCCCAGGTACCATGTCTGTGGCTCTGCTGTTGACCCCCTCAGGAAACCTGATACTCATTGTTTGTTTAAATCAGGATAGGATTTAGGACAGACTCCCTGAGGAGTTCTGTAAACTGCGGGCCCGTGTGCTGGAAAATGCACCCCTCAGATACTCTCCAGAATGCTGTGGAGGATCACCCGTGGCGTGGGAGAGAGCCCGGCTCTGTAGCTTCTGGATTGCATTGAGGCTCCGCACAGGATTTCCATGGAGATTGTGGAGGGTGCAGATGGAGTTTGTGGGGGGGCTGGAGTGACAGTGACACTAAACAGGCACCCACCCTTGAGACAGAGGCCAGCAGGTCCACAGGGGAGGGGGGCAGTGTCGGTGAAGCGCCAGTTCGATGCACACGGTCATGGTGTCTTGTTTGAAGAAGTACCAGAGACCGCCACATCCACGCCATACGTGGTGGTTTGCGGGTTTGTGGCTGTGAGGTTCACCAGTCTGCAAGTCGATTCCTGAGCAGAACTTAGCCGGTGATGCTCACTGACCCTCACCACACCCAAAGTCTGTCACTAACAAACTCCGTCTGCTCAAGGAGCCACCAAGGGCAAGTATGGCGATGAGGTGGCAGAGTCTCACCAGTGCTGAGATGCATGTCTCTTAAAGTGAGATTTCATTAAAAGGCTTGAATATCCTTTGCAGGTACATTACTTAATGGTTCAATATCTCCCCCTGCTGGCTGAAATAAATGTTTTCTGACACTTGTCCTCACCACCCCCTTATGTGCACTTTCCCTGGCTCCACATATAGCTGTGACTTTTCCGTTACAGGTACTCTGACAGAATGCCAGAATTCACCTTCATACATGCTCTGCCCAACGCACAGAAAGTACATATGCTGAGTCCCAGTGGAACAGCATTCAGTACCACCTGTGAATTTCTCTCAAAGCCATTTTTTTCTACAGAATGTAAAAAATCAGTGCTGTTATAATGCAGTATAGATACCTTTATAATGCATTATAGTGCTTACTATAAGCATTAAGGATGCTTTTTACTGCATTATAAAGGTATATATATATATTGCATTGTAGTTGAGAGCTTCATAAGGCAGTAATAATGCATAATAAACATAGCTATAATGTGTTATGCCTTTTATAAATAGTTACAGCTGTGTTTATAATACTTCATGGATGCATTATAACTCATTATGAAGGTTCCTATAAAGCATTATGATGACTGCTTTAAAGTGTTACCGTTTTTATTATTTTTAGAGATTCATCTTCAAAGGGTAGTTGCTCTCAGAAACAGGTAGAAAATTGCTTTGGTTAAAAAGCAGGAGATGTGAGGAATTTGTCTATCTGAGGATTCTTCTTTTTTTACCTCTATGGATGATAATCCGAGATGAGCTCTCAGCTGACAGCTAAAGAGCCCCTTCTGCCCTGCCCGTTACTCCCTGTAATCGTTGGCCATAATCTCCCCACTGATGCATTCCGGTTTTAAATGCCATCGCCCCCGATGCTCTAGGGACGCTTGGCACTCAGCCTGTCTGAACCCACTGAGTCTCACTCCACGTCTGCGAGGCCTCTGACCTTTCAGATGAGAAAAAGATGAGAGGGAAAAAAAACTTTGTACAGGCAGTGATTATCTGTATTGTTGAAAAATGTATTTTTAGAAATAAAGTGTTTTTTTTTCTGTAAGTTTTCAGAGTCTCTCTGTCTTTCCTGTGCTGTGAATTGATTTGTTCCCAGACAAGATGAACGTTGGCATGTAGGTGACAGTGGGCAGGAGATCTGAAGGGTGACGGAGACACATAGATCACTGGCATTTCTCACGCAGGGTCCACGTTGTTAGAGCATGCTTCACCGTGACCGGGAAGCACTGGCAAACCATTCTGACGCCTGGCCCACTTCTAATAGTTCTGATAAACATGGGGAGAAGGAGAGGGGACCAACCTGCCAACAGAAGCCAGACATACCAGGCACAGTACACAAACAGAGTGTCATTATTAGGCTTGATTGAAAGTCTGGTTGTCAGACTCACTCCCCGAAGATGGATCTGAGATTTTCCAACCGTTGTTCTCAGGTACAGAACACAGCTCTTAGGAAAGCAAGCTGTCGTGACAGACATTCTCGCGTTTGTCAGATATTCACATGTGCTTATCGGTGATATGGAGGCTGGCGCGTGCCTCTGGGAAATGGCTCCATTTGTGCTCTGCATGGATCCTTTGTGCCTCGCTGCAGTTTGGCAGCTAATGCTGCGGCTTGTTTCTCCTTGATATTGAATCACCGAAAAGAAGGGCTGACAGTGGCCTTGGGACACAGGGCCTTCAATCCCAGAGAATGCCTTGGGGTCTCCTGGGACATGGTTATCCTTGTAGGAAGGATGTCTGTCAAAAAAAAGGCACAAATGGAAGATGTCACAATGGTTCTTCAGTCCTCGCTGGCATCTGACTGTTTTCCCTCTGGGTCCGTCCTGCCCAAGGTGGCCCTCAGACCCCTGAACACAGCATCCAGAGCAAGAGATTCTGAGTGAGATGGAAGCAGATCTCTGTCAGGTTTATGGCCAGCGTCAGTCTTTGCGAGCCAACCGATACCGGGAAATGTGATGGGTATGGCTGCAAGATTCAACACCTGCATTTGGCATACCTGGCAGGCCAGCGACCTCAAGAGCATCTGAATGGGTTTCCATCACTTCAGCTCCTCCTGGAGCATGAGAAAGCAGCCGGTGAGATTACATTACGGTTTTAGTGTGAATGGCGTGGGGGCAGTGCAAAGATTTATATCACCCTGAGCCCGTCTGCTTCGGAAACTTGGTGTGAAGCAGCCTGTGTGGGAAAACTGCTGCCTTTCCCAAGGGAGCTCAAAGCATCACAGCTGGCCTGCAGTCCAGCTAGGTGTTTGTTGAGAAGATCCTGGGTGAGAATTCACACCCACGGCTGTTGTGTGGGAAATGCAGGGAAAGGTTCCTTGTTTGTGGGGTACATCGCCTTATCAGAATTCAGTGGGAGGCCCTGCACTGCAACATTCCCATTAAAAAATAATACAAGTGATAAATTATTAACATCATAAAAAGTAGCATTGCCAGGGTCAAATGAACATTGTCACCACTTCGGTGTTCCTTGTCTGAAAGTGCCTGCCACCGTCTGTAAAAGGACACCTCTAAAACTAACCTGACAGCTCCTGCTGGGTCTCCTTTGGGTTCGTATTCAAGGCCAGATGTGCAGAGGCGCTTGAAGTGTATACTTCTGCCAGTGCATGTGGCGGCAACTGCATTTTGCTTTCAGTTTCAGAACCGTGAATGACACAGGTAAACGTCCGAAGAGTGTGCCTGTGAGCCACCAGAGGTCACCATAACCTGACTGAGGGGCGCATGAAAGCCGGTGACTCTCCACCAGTCATCAGCGGCCCTGAGTGGTTTTATTTACTCTAGTACAAACTGAGAAACCTATAGATGCCTTGTTAAAGTTTCTGCTTTCAAATGTTAGCAACATCCACTTAGTTACCCCCAAATGACCCTGGAAGTAGTCAAAGTATAAATTCATATTCCATCCCTCTTCTAACTACTTTTCCTGCTTTAGGGTTGTGGCATAAATTTGTATTTTTAGCACTTATTAAATTGAAATTTGGTGAGAATATACACATGTCAAAATCTCAGCCCCTTGTTTGGGAGACGCGCTTTACAGCGGGAGAGTTTCAGGCTGGTACCAGTGGTGTCGTACGCCGTCATCGCATCCCGCCTGAATGCTTACTGTTCAGACAGCATTGCTGGTGTGTGAAATCACCCCTGAGCTCCATCCCCTCAGCACGGCTACAGGTCTGTCCTCGGTCCAAAATGGCAGCCCAAGCCGGCCTGCTGCTGCTTCCTGAGTTAACACAGAGGACAGAGTGCAAAAACATCCCAGGTAACAGCACTGAAAACCACAAGTTAACAATTAATCCATTAATATATTGATTTTTGTTTGTATAATACCTCTGAGACTACGGTTTCAGTGTACACCCTGATTCTAAAAGTGCGGAGTCTCCATGTTCTTCCCATGTCGTTGTAGGGTTTCCTCTATTTCCCCCCACAGTGTGTGTGTACGTGTGTGTGTACGTGTGTGTGTACGTGTGTGTGTGTGTACGTGTGTGTGTACGTGTGTGTGCGCACGATACCTTCGGTGTTGGTTAAGATTTCAAGCTTGTGACTTTGACCACCATACTACCTGTCAATCCTCCACTGTGTGTAGGATTGTATGTATGTGTGTGAAGAATTTCCAAGGAAAAATAATGTATCTCATTTTTGCCACATATTGCTAAACTACCTCAAGAAATGGGTCCCAGAAGAAAAGGGTGCTGGAATGTGGTAACGGAAGTTTGGGATCGAACATGTTTACATGTTTCCTAATGAGCTATTTGTGAGGAAGGAACAGCCTCTGGACTCTGATATTTTAGTATTAATTTTCTAAAATATATATAGGCCTGTCAGATTGGACATTCACATAATATGTTTTTGCAGTTTTCGGTTTATTGTGTGAAAGCTTTGGAACACATCAGTAAGTTTGTCGTGTCATTATTCTTGGTCTATCTAAAATTATTTGTAGCATATAGATGGGGGTGGAATATGACAGAGGTAACTGTTAAGGATAACTAAACACCCCTCGGGGGTCTGGTCACATTCATGCTGTGGTGAAGCGTAGGACTGCAGTCTGCCAGGATGATGATGTCCTAACTGGAGACAACAGCTAACAGACTTGCTCTACTGAGCCACTTCATATTACATATTACTTTCGTAATACATATTTGGTACGTCCCTCTACATATTTTTTATGATAAATTTACTAGTTTAATACTACTACTGAAAATAATTATTATCATAATAATTATTACTAATATCGACAATAATAATGATAATAATCATAATAATAACTATTATTATTATCATTAGTAGTAGTAGTAGTAGTAGTAATTGTTTTACTCACTTATAAATTGAAAGAGATGAGATAACGTCTTTATTTCTGTCCACCCGACCTGAGGTAAGCATTTTCGACTACTTTTAAAAATGTGCTTCCGATTTGTTTCTCTTATGTTGTTTTTGCCTTCGCTCTCTTTGGTTTATGTTTTTTTTATATATCTATTTTCGTTTCCAGATACGGCCGCAAATCAAGCTGTCGCCAGGCCTCGGCGACTCGCACGTGCATGTTCCGTCGCCAGCGTCGCTGGCTCCATGACAACGACGTGGCGCCCCGTCGCCATTGGCTCCCCAAGCGTCACGTGGTGTCACGGCGATTTAGCCGATTCCAAAAGCGGCGAGACGGCGACGGCTTGCGGAGCGCTGCGGAGCGGAGCCGCTAGGACTGAGGTGCCAGCTCAGGCGGCGGGTCCACTTGTCCCGGGACTTTATCTCAAGCTTTAGCGCAAAGTACAATTAAAAAACGCCGGACTATCAGCATGCGCAGAATGTGGCATGAGCGATAAGGAGGTGTCCCTTTGCGATGCCCTTAGAAACGTACAGTTCGGTGGAGTTACTGCACCACAACTTAATAATTCACAAAGCTGAATGCCGAACAAAGTGAAGAGGTCAGAGCACTGATTAATCATGTAAGTGCCCTTTCTTCATTTCTTATGGATACATCACTGTGCTGGGGATCGTCGGTGCTGTCAGTGGCGTTATTGCTGTTGTCAGGCCGCTCATGGGGCCCCCAAGTCGGGAGTCAACCAAAAGCCAAGCTCTTATCTTTCTCCGAATTTTTATGAGACTTGGTCTAAAGCAATTTTGTAAACCAATGTCAGGAGAAGCGAATTACAAGGAACAAACTGTCCAGTGAAAGTAATGCTTTTTGTATGAAAATAACAAACTGTCATACTACATTTCCATTGTATCAAAGGTGTTTATATTTGTAACTGGAGGTCATCTTTCAGAGTAAGTAGCACCCTTTTGGTGTTAAGGGTTGGGGGGTTTGGGGGGCAGAAGGTCATTTAAATATGGTGACTGGATAGTAGTGTGACTCCAATGCCTGCCTGAAGGCCAGCTGTCCTGCTTCTGTGTCCAGCACTGATTCCTCCTGCCACCTCCGTGTACTGGCTCCAATTACCTCTTGTTGACTTTCGTTAGCTGAGGTCTTTGAATCCGGCACAGAGCCCGGCTCGAGATAAACATCCTGCGTGGGAGATTTACATCGTCGCTCTACTGTGCCGTGTGACTTTTGGTGCAGCGGTGGCTGTCCCCAGCGCCGCCTGACCCGACTCTGCGTTGCGTATCAATAATAGAAAACGCAGTGTCCCTTCACAGCACCGGTGAGCCGGACTGCACCCCTCTCCGTAGCGCCTGGCGCGGCGCCCAGGGTGATGTACCAGCAGCCAGTGCCAAGCCGCACTGACCTTATCAGAGACGTCAGCACTGCAGGATCGGTGACACTCAGACGTGCAGCCCCCGCCCTCCCTGGCAGGGCCTGCGATTCGATAGATCTGCATGCCAGTGGGCCTCTTTAAATAGATAAGCAGTTTATATTTGTGCTTGGTACACAATTCTTTTGCAAGGACTGCCTCCACCATGAGTCAGCAAATAGAGACGGGCCTCCATGCTGGGGGGGAGGGGGGGCAGGTTGGCCTCGGGGCCTGGGGACTCAAAGCGACACCCAGCACGCACTGGGAAATGACGGAAATAATCAGCAGCTAAATAAGGAAACAATGAGGAACTGTGCCATGTATCCCTCCCCCACGGAGGTCTGCGGCGTTTCCCGATGTCTTGGAGTCCATCGGGCGGGTGGAGGGGCTGTCCATGTCCTTCCCCGAGAACCTGCCCCATCCAGAGGAGGAAGAGGAGGAGGCTGCAGGTGCGAGGGGCCGACAGAGGAAGAGCCGCTACCATCAGAGCCTGCAGCTGCTGAAACCATTCAGGAGGACAAACAAGTGAGACACTGGGAAGCCAGTGTGGCTGTGGTGTGTGTGTGTGTGTGTGGTGTGTGTGTGTCTCAGGGTGAGGGTGTGAGAGAGCGTGTGTGTGTGTGTGTGTGTGTGTGTCTCAGGGTGAGGGTGTGAGAGAGCGTGTGTGTGTGTGTGTGGCAGTGCATCAGTGTGAGGATGTGAAAGTGTGTGGGTTTGTATTTACCAATTGTCCCCTTAATATTGTAAAACCTGTTACTTTTTAGCGTGTGGGGACATTTTTCAGGTCCCCACAATACAAACTTCACTTTTATAAAAATCTGTGAATGCAGTTGTATTTTGTTGGGTAACTTATGGTTCAGGTTAGGGCTGGGTAGGGGTTAAGGGTGATCATAGTTGGGATAGAAATGAATGGGGAGTCCCCACAAAGATATGAATTTGTGAACTCTGTGTGTGTGGCTGTGGGTGTGTAGGGGAGTTGATAAGGGTTGAGACACATTCCTCATCCAGTGGCAGCAGATAGCTGTTTGAAAGTCCCACTGAACTCCTTCACCATTCACACGGCCTCCATTTCTCTAACAGACCTGCAAAGAATTCTGTTCAATCAGAACCGCACGATTCATCCGCCCCCACTGCCAGCCGCTCTCTCATGTCCGGGCCAGTTCACACTCAGGCGCGCTGTTTTCGTCACTCTGACCCCCCACCACCCTTTCCACCACCTTCCTGCAGGAACCAGCATCCAGTGGACAACGCGGGCCTCTTCTCCTTCATGACCCTGCAGTGGCTGTCCCCGCTGGCCTGGAGGGCCCACAAGAAGTCCATCTTGAGGCTGGAAGACATGTGGGGCCTGTCCTGCCATGAAGCCTCTGAAACCAACTGGCAGAGGTGCGGCTGCTCCGCCAAGGGCTCCCCAGGCTGGGTTTGGGAAGAAGCAGTGCGAGCGGTTAATCACGGCAGAGTCGAGGGCGGCTGGGTCACCATTGGTGTGGCGTTCCCAAGCTTCAGGCGTACGACCGTCATCTTTAGGACGTGGCTTGACCTGGCTGTGGAGGTGGTGTATGTGTATGTAGGGGGGGGGGGGGTAGGTATTAATAGCAGGGATTAGAGATTAGAGTGAATGTTCACAAAGGCTCCACAGGAACAGCTTCCGCGGTTCCCATATTTGCAGCCAGTGCCACGACAGCAGCAGCTCCTGGGTGGCGGATGTCAAATGACAAAAGGAGTCGGTTCTCACTTGGATGCTTCTGGGTTTACAGCACAATAAAGGCTGCGAGATGCAGCGTGAGCCGGCGTGTCCTTCCCTACCTTATTTTTACTGCTGTCTGCTGTTTTCAGGCTCATGCTGGAGTGTCACCTTTTCGCCGGTGGCTCTGAGGTACCGCTGAGTGCTTGCACGAACACGGCCATTGACTTTTCGCAGTTACCTGTTGATTTAGCTTAGATTTCTGAGGGCCCGTTCTAGGACAAAGTTGGTAGCTGTCAGAATCGTAAAGGGAGAATATTTGGGGGGTGAGAGAAAAGTGTGTGTGTGTGGGGGGGGTGGTTCATTTAGGGTTTGTGTGTCTAGAACCACCATGAGATGTGTCTTCAAAATTCTTGGAACACAGAGATGAAAATTCGGGGACACAGACCAGGCTGAATTAGTCATGATTACGGCACAATATTGTGTTTTATTTTGAACAAAAACCTGCAATTTTCAAACAGCATGAAACCAAAGCCATAATCAATTGATAATTATGTGGGAGGCATCTGTTACTAGATTCTGCATCCGCTTTTGCTTTTCAGACATACTTGCTTCATTGTATCATATATACCGGTAGCCATAAACATGCATTTGCATTTGGCACCAGGACCAGGATTGTGCCTGAAGGTGTGGTGAAATATTTTATTATACAGTACAGTAAGTTTCTTTGCATGTAGCAAAATAGCACAGTACAGGTGCTGTATCTGCTTATTGTAGCTGTCCATCATATATACAGTATACATACTGTGTTACGAGTTCGATATGGACAGTGGGTGATTATACGGCTGGCAGTGCTGCCCGTTCTCCTGCACTTGTTACACTAAAGCGATACACCCGCTAACGTCCCACCTCATCCGTGTTCTGGCATCTCCCAATCTGTGGATATTATTTACTATGGACCTCGGACATAAACGTAATCGGACTTTGCTCGATGGGACGTGAGTGGACAGATACCTGTGTCACACACATATCGGCACCCTGCTCCCTTTTAGTGATTTTATGTTTCACTTTTGACTGCTTGTGAGGCCTCTGCAGCCTGCGCTTGTTACAAAAGCAGAAGGATTATACAGGGTTTAATGTCATGGTAATAAGCGTTAAATGAAAAATACCAGTGAAGTCATGTGGTGACAATCAATCCGTGTGTCTGGAACAGTTGCAGGAATAATAATAGTAATAATAATAATAGTGATGATAGTAATGATAGACTTCTTTATTATGTCTTATTGATGCCTTTATTTGCTGCTTCTGGAGCTGATGCTGGTTATCCTGGGATTCTGAGATTTCTGAATTTCACGCTAAAATTACTTAATTTAAAATGTGACGATATAACTTCTGTGTTGTAACTACTCCGTCCGCTAATAGCTTAATGCTGGGATCTGAGCCGATCTTTAAGAATGCCAGCAGAAAGATGCACTCATCTGTCCTTTTCCAAGGCGAAAGCCTGATCCGTCCACTGCTTTGACGAATTCTCACCCCTGTCACCAGGCTGGAGACCCTGTGGCACGAGGAGCTGAAGGCACAGGGACGAGACGGAGCCTCCCTGGGCCGGGTGTTCTGGAGGTTTTGCCAGACCCGCATGCTGGTGGCCATCTTCACCCTCCTCGTCAGCATGACAGCAGGCTTTGCCGGACCTGTGAGTCTTCAACATATACGTCAATCTCCACCTTGGGGTGGTCAGTTCAAGATAAAAACACACAAACACGAATAAACAGAAATAAAATCAAAGTGGAGGTATAAAGATATATATGGACAGAAGTACATGTCCTCATCATTTTATTCAGACCCTTTGCCACAGGTGTATAAAGTCAAGCCACTAGCCATGCAGGCAGGTTTACAAACATTTGTGACTGAATGGGTCGTTCTGAAGAGCTCAGTGAATTCAAGCCTGGTACAGTCATAGGATGCCGCCTTTGCAATAAGTCAGTTTGTGAAATTTCTTGTCTTCCATAGTCATTCCATGGTCAACTGTATGTGGTATTATTGCAAAGTGGAGGCGTTTAGGAACAACAGAAACTCAGCCTCAAAGTGACAGGCCATGTAAAGTCACAGAACGAGGTCACTGAGTGCTGAGGCACACAGTGTGTAAATGGTGCCAAAGCTCTGTTGACTTGATAACTGCAGGGATCCAAATTTCCTCTGACATTAACCCCAGCATAAAAACTGTGCCCTGGGGCTTCCAGGGCTGAGCAGCTGCATGCAAGTGTCACATCACCAACCGCAGTGCCAAGCATAGGATGTGGTGTAAAGCATTCTGCCACTGGATTCTGGAGCAGTGGAAACATGTTTTGACGAGTGACAAATCATGCTTCTCTGACTGGCTGTCTGATGAATGAGTCTGGGTTTGGTAGGTGCCAGGAGAACTTTACCTGCCTGACCGCATTGTGCCAGCTGTAAAGTTTGGTAGAGGGGGGGTAATGGTATGGGGTCGTTTTTCAGGGGTTGGGCCCCTTAGTTCCAGTGAAAGGAACTCTTAATGCTTCAGCGGGCCAAGACATTTCAGACAAATCTATTCTTTCAACATTGTGGGAACAGTTTGGGGAAGGCCCTTTTCTGTTCCGGCATGACTGTGCCCCAGTGCACAAAGCAAGGTCCATAAAGACATGGTTGGATTTGTTTGGTGTAGAAGGACTTGACCGGCCTGTACAGAGCCCTGACCTCAACCCCATCGAACACCTTTGGGATGAACTAGAACGGAGATTGTGAGCCAGGCCTTCACATCTAGCATTAATGCCTGACCTAGCAAATGCTCTTCTGAATGAATGGGCAAAAATTCTCACAAACTCCAAAATCTTGTTGAAAGCCTTCCCAGAAGAATGGCAGCTGTTATAGCTGCAAATAGGGAACCGACTCCACATTGATGCCCATGGATTTAGAATGGGGTGTCATTAAATTTCCTGTTGATGTAATGACCAGGGGTCCCGGTACTTTTGTCTGTATGGTGTAGCTTTACAATGGAGGTACTGTAGGGACATTCACACTACAGCAGTGTGTCGCAATTAGGTCCTTAGGGCCCCGCAGACATTCCTCATGGAACATCTATGGGGACCCGGAGACTAGGTTGGGAAAATCTACAGTGTCACTGCCCCCCCCCCCATAATAAAACGTAAAAGTAAAGATACCACATGTGAACTAGTACTGCAGAGGAACCGCACATCCCTGAACTTAAGGTTGAGGGTTCCATTGCTAGTAGGGGTTTGGTGTTGTACCTTTAAGTAAGGCATTATTCTGAAATACACTATGAAGAGTTTATGAAGGTCATAGTGTCACTGTATGGGTGCTGTGAAGCTCAGCCGAAGTGCTATTTGCAAAATGTCACAAATGTGACAAATATGTCATTCACAGACTACATTGTCGCGCAATCGTCATGCATGTTATGATTCATAACAGAAGGGGTCGTCACAGAGTACTGCCACATAAACATGGCATTAATTGTACATGGTGGTGTGATGTGTTGCTTATGAAGGTGTAATGGAGCGTCCTTGAAGGAGCTTTTGAGGGGGGTGACCTGGCAATGTAGACTCTTATTATGAAGCAGATCGGGAGGGTAATGTGTAGCGTGTGCCCTGCTGTCTCTCTGAAGGTGTGATGGATTGCTTATAAAGGCGTATTACAGCCCTATAATCTTCATACGTGTCACGAGCTGTTTATGAGGGTGTGATTCATAGCCATGAAGGAGTTACAGAGGCCTAACCCCGGACCTTTCATTAAAACATTAAAAGCGCTGACCTGCCTGTCCCAAGGTGACCTTTCCTCGTCCCGCTGGGCTCAGCAAATTCCCCTTTTATCTTGGCCGGTGTCGACGTGCTTCCTGCAGCTGATTTTAATAACGGGTAGTAAAAAGCACCGCTGAACAATGCCAGGCTCCAGCATCGTTCTTGATTAGTTGGTTGTTTGAGAAGCTTGTTTGCGCAAGAAGGGCGGCTTTGCGTAACCGGGATGTTCTGCAGCTGCCCAAGGCCCGCCCTGGGAGGGACGCTGCAGTCGACCAGGTAGGGAGGGGATCTCCTTCGTACAACGGCGCCACCTGGCTTTTCCTTCAGCATGATGCGACGTTTGTCCACGTTCTTGTTAGATTTTGAGTTTCCTTGCTATTTCGCCTCCCTTGTCTGATCTCCGTCCCTCGTGAAAGCTGCTGCTGCCGTCTTCACTGTCCTCCCGCGACTCCTGTGCTACTTCATTTTCTTCTTTGCTCCCTGGTCTTGCTATGTACTGTAATGTAGTGACTGTTTGTGGCCAATAGGGGGCCCCCCTAACCTTAGTTTGAGTGGTGGTAAACACCGCCACTGCCCCTGCTCATACCCCTTGGGTTTTCTCTCCTTTGACCTCCTGATCCATGTCTCCTGGTCCTCCTGCCCTCTGATACCTGATTTCCCCCCTCACCCTGCAATTGCCCCCCTGCCCCTGGACCCACAGGCCCTCCTGGTACGAGCCCTCCTGGAGTACTCCCAGCGCTCTGAGTCTCACTTGCTGTACGGATTCGCCCTGGTGGGCGGTCTCATCCTGGTGGAGGTGACCCGCTCCTGGGCCCTGGCTATGATGTGGGCCGTCAACTACCGTACCGGCACTCGCCTGCGGGGGGCAGCACTCACCCTCGCCTACCAGAAAGCCCTGCGGATGCGGAGCACCAGGGATATGAATGCTGGAGAGGTAATGGGTACCAGCCTCCATATATCTGTCTTACTCGTTGTGTATCTTTATAACTTCCTGTTTCTGTTTGCATATTTTAATGCTTTATTTGAAGACGCCCCATATAAGGCCAGTGCAGCCATGATGAATGGCTCTTGATGTTCAGCCTCTTGTATAGAAACGGCTTTAAAAAGTGACATTTTCATGTGCTGATGATGGATGGCTGATGTGTGACGTGTCGATGATGGATTATAGGAGTAACCTTTCTTGAAGTTATACAGTAAACAGTTAATTAAAGAGTTTTTTTGAGACAGTGGTCATTAATGTAAGTGATTGAGAGCCAGTTACCGCAGATGTGGTCTCTGAAAGCTGACTGCACTTCTGAAGCACCATCTTCATGCTGCCTCTGGTCCTTAGTTGGTGAACGTCTGTTCCAGCGACGGGCACCGGCTCTATGAGGCTGCCACGGCGGGCTGCCTCCTCGCAGGGGGGCCCCTGGTAGTGCTCATGGGCTTGGGCTACACCACCTGCTTCCTGGGGCCCACGGCGCTGATGGGATCGGCCATCTTTGTCTTGTTCTGTCCCTCCATGGTGCGTCGTCTCCACCTTCATCACGAATCCCGCCCCCCTCTCCCTCTCCGAAGGCTGTGGAGGCGATTCCCCCCACGCTGCCTCCTGTTTACTGCCGCCTTCATCCTCATCTGTCTCTGTCGTCTCATTCATGCCCCGCTCTCCTCGCTCTTCTCTTTTTCCTTAAACGTCTCTCTCTCTCTCTCTCTCTCTCTCTCTCTCTCTCTCCCCATTTCTCGCTCGCCACAGATGCTGGCCTCCCGTCTGACAGCCTATTTCCGGAAAAGGTGCGTGTCCGTGACAGACCAGCGCGTCCGGCTCATGAACGAGATCCTCAGCTCTATCAAATCCATCAAGATGTACTGCTGGGAGTCCACCTTCGCCCGCCGCGTCCAGCGTGAGCCGCCACCAAACCCCCCCACTCACTGGCCCGTGTTCCCCTTAATGCCTTTGCCTTCGTGGCTATCTGGGAAAGTGGTTAGGCACTTAATGACCGCTCCGCTGCCATTTATCTCAGTTCAGAGCGACTTAAGCTCCATTCATCATCCGCAAGGACCTTTCTATGTACATCTGCACTCCTGTTGTGTGTAAGATAACACCCTACCCAGATTACTCAGGAATAGCATGTGAGCAGTTAAATCCATTCATGTTATCGATTAGTTATGTCTGACTGGACCCGATCCGAAGGAGTCGGCTGGTAGAGCACAGACCTTCGTGCATATTTTCTCATCCCGATGGCCAGCTCTCTCTCTCCCTGTGTCGTTCTCAGAGGTGCGGACAGAGGAGCGTCGGATACTGGAATGGGCGGGGTATGTGCAGAGCCTGACGGTGGGTGTGGCCCCCGTTGTCGTGGTGATCGCCAGTGTGTGTACATTCACCCTCCACATGGCCCTGGGCTATGACCTCACAGCTGCTCAGGTATACCCCAGCACATTGTCCTTGGGATCCCCCATCCATCCCCAAAATACTAATTGAGTGCCATCATAACCTAACCCCCCTGTCTGCTTCCTCTCTCAGGCGTTTACAATTGTTGCTGTCTTCAACTCCATGACATTTGCACTCAAGGTCATGCCCCTGGCAGTACGCTCTTTGTCCGAAGGCGCCGTTGCAGTGAAGAGGTTCCAGGTGAGGGGGGTGGGGGGAAAGCAACCATGCTAACAGACACCATCAGCCTGCATCTGTAGCAGTAGCTGTACCTGTGTCTGTGTCTCTCTATGTGTCAGTACCAGTATCTGTACCTGTTTCTATGTCAGTGTCTATGTCTGTGCCTCTGCCCATGTCTGTGCCTATGTCAGCTCCTGTGTCTGTGCCTCTTCCCATGTCTGTGCCTATGTCAGCTCCTGTGTCTGTGCCTCTTCCCATGTCTGTGCCTATGTCAGCTCCTGTGTCTGTGCCTCTGCCTGTATCTGTGCTTCTGTCCATGTCTGCGCCTATGTCAGTGTCTATGTCTGTGCCTCTACCCTTGTCTGTGCTCGTGTCATGTCTGTGCCTGTGCCACTGTGTCTGCGCCCATGTCAGTTGCTGTGTCTGTGCCTGTCTTTGACCCGAGTCCCACGCTGTCATGCAGAGGCTGCTGATGCTAGAGGACCGGGAGCTGGTGTCAGAAAAGCTGGAGGATCTGAGAAATGCGGTGGAGTTCCGGGACGCCTCCTTGGTGTGGGAGTCACCTCGCAGTAAGGGGCGAGCTGGGGTGGCAACGCCTTGCACACCCCGCAGGACGGGGGGCATGGAGCGCGTTCTGCGTAAGGAGATGCTGAGCCTGTACATCCTGTCGGAGGAGGGCAAGGGAGGTGCTGAGGAGCAGAATGGTGAGCATCTGCTCACCCACATGGAGCAGGACAGCCCCCAGAACACCGTCTCCTCAGCTGGTGGCTTCCGGCCTCCTGTACAGAGGACACTGCATCGCATCGACCTCCGCATTAAGAAGGTGCGTGTCCCACTGTGAGACACATCTCATTCCACCGCTATGCCTGACCTATGTAACATCGCTGGCTGCTCTTCACCAACAGGGGGAGCTGGTGGGCATCTGCGGCAGTGTGGGAAGTGGGAAGAGCTCGCTGCTGTCCGCTCTGCTAGGCCAGGTATGGAAATGTAGAATGGAGGCCCCAGGCCCCTCTCTGTGGGCCCCAGTCTCAGGTCTGCGGCTGCTCTCCCCACCTCCAGATGAAGCTGCTTGGAGGCTCGGTCGCGGTCGGAGGGGGGCTCGCGTACGTCGCCCAGCAGGCCTGGATCCTCAACGACTCCCTGAGGGAGAACATTCTGTTTGGGAAGGAGTATGAAGAAGAGAGGCAAGACCCTCTGCGTCTGGGGATGAGGTGGGAGGGATCCAGGGATTTTCTGTGTCTGGGGATGATCCGGGGAATTTCTGAGACTCATCACCTGTCTGTCTGGTGCTTCTCCATCAATCTCCACTGTCTTTCTGTCTCTTTAGGTACAGAGCTGTGCTGGAATCCTGCTGTTTATACCCTGACATTGCTGAGCTGCCCTATGGAGACATGACTGAGGTGACCGCATCAGTGTCAGCTGTATATCCACATGACCGTGG